AGTGAGGTATGATATATGTTATCAAACAATTGATGCTCACAAGTGAAAATCTCCATAAAAATGACATAGAATATTTGTCAAACAAAAATGTAAGTCTCATGGTTATTTAATAATTCCCCGATTAATTTTTGTGGTATCCTAAATAGCCAATAAAAATTGCATTCACTAGTCTCTCTCATATCTGAATGTAGACTCAAACAAAAATTTGAGTAACCTTTTCTGAAATATTTCATCTTCTACTTCAGGTGCAGAGTAACTTTTTTATGCCATTTTTTATGGCATCTTAAGTCACATTATTCTTTAAGCTATGCAGGTAGACACATATTGCTGCATAAATTTAGCTTCTGAAATAAGCAATAAGTCTGAGACCAAAGTAATGAAAAGAAGTTTAACATGGTACATCTAATAGCTCTTTCAAGTTCCATGTAAACTATACTAAGCTGGACTCTCTGAGCTAAATCCTGGTCTTATCAAAGTCAATGGAAATATTCCACAAGTTTGGTCCATTTATACTTACTTAGTCACACTTATTTTACTGATAGTTAACTTACAACTGTTTACATATCACATCTGAATTTGATGCAGAAAAGGTTCACAATGTGACTGAAATACATTTCAGGAAGAGTATATCTTGTAAGTTCCATTCGCTGGCATCTGGAGCAAGAGTTAGTTTGGATGCAAACCTGAGCAAATCCAAGCCATGATAGGGAGTGTTAAATTGCTTATGCTGAATGATTTTATTATTCTATATCTAGGGACTAATACTTAATGTGTTAACACAGTTGAAAGGTAGGTGAAAGCAGAAGGGAAGATTGTAGAGACCACGTGTGGGAGCCAATGACTGAAATTCATGGGAGGCTTTCTACTGACTTCAAGTGGTGTGGGATTGGTCCCCAGATAAGTAAACATGTAGTAATAGACCTGGCATGAGCTTTGCTCCCAAAAAAAATTCCATACAGCCGATGGACACCTTGCATTAGATGATCATGCTCATTATTTTTCCCAAATATGGGTACTTAAGCATGCGTGGCCTTGCTAAGACAGGGCTATTATGTTTCTATCTCTGGACAATGCTATACATAATTCAACATAGAAGTACAGGATGGCAGAAGTGAGCCAGCAACCTGGCACTAATTGGTTGGCTGATTTCTTGCCATAATTGGTTGGCTGATTTCTTGTAGACTTCATAGCAGAAGGGGGGATTTGAAGGAATAGCGGGTATGGTTCGGCCAAAGAGCTTTACAGACAGAGGGTGCTGTGTGGGAGAAGCAAACAACAGAGATTCAAGCCTGTCATCTTGGCAGAATGAGTGACTTAAGAAACAAGAAAAGCTAAGCAGGGAGTAATATCAATTACAATGAATGTATTTCAAGATTTTCAACCTTAAAATGTATCTTTAATCAGTTCTAACTTCAAAGTACTGTCAGCTTATATTGTGTCAGATCAAAGATATCCAATATTTGCTTCCTCAAATCATAATGTGTGTGTTACTGCAGAGGAGAAGCTGAGGGGAACAGTAAAATACAGTGTTTAAAAAGATGATAAACACTCAGCATTTATCTAGCACAGTGGTTCTGAAGCTACAAGTCACTTACAGCCCAAACATACACACATCCATACAGCCACAAAAGTAGTATATATATGTCATGTGGATGCATCCCACATAAAACAGAGAACTGCAAACAAGGCCCAAAGTAGAATCACTGATCTAATGCTAAAATTGTGTACAAATAATAATTATTAGCAATATTTCCATTGACAGAGCATTTGCTAATTATTCTGATGATCTCAAAGTATTTTGAAAAATAAGCAAGTGTAACTACCAGAAGACTGATTTGAATCTGAGACCTCTGGATCTTAGGATATGTCTACACAGCAACATTATTTCAAAATAACTAGTGTTATTTTGAAATAACTTAGTCCGCATCCACATAGCAGTCAGTTATTTAAAAATAATGTTGAAATACTGTCAAGCTGGAGAACTTCTTATACCGACTCCTGTAACCCTCATTGTATGAGGAGTAAGGGAAGTCAGAGGAAGAGTGCTCTATTTTTAAATAAGTGCTGTGTAGATGCTTCCAATTTTGAAATAAGCTATTTCAAAATAAGCTACTCAATTGAAGTAGCTCAATTTGCATAGCTTATTTTGAAGTCCTGCTGTGTAGATGTACCCATAGTATAGGAGCTTCTTGCACCTTGAGCTATAACACCAGCTGGCTCTTAGCTTAAGCTGTAGAGTTCACTCATTAGTATTTCTCGCTGTAAGTGGTCTAAGTGCCACTACATGGGACAGTGAACCACACCCGCTAGGTGTGTGGGTTATATAAACACGACAGCTACCATTTTACAGATGGCAAAGCTGAGGCCCAAAGAAGTTAATTAGCTTGTCCAAAGTAACACACTGAGTTAGTATAATAGCCACATTTTAAAGTGAGGAATTCCAAATTTACCAAGTACTGCTTAGTTCACTAGACAACATGGATACCTAGGTTATTATTAGAGCAGAGTGGAAATTTTCCAAAAAAATCAGTTTTTGTCAGAAGATGATGATTTGTCAAAACAAATGTTTTGCAAAAATGTATTGGTTACAACAAAGTTGCAAGGTAATGCAAATAGAGTTTCGATCAATACCTGCTCAACTTCCAGATTGCTTGCCTGCAGTTCTGGGACCCACAGCTTCATGGCTCCTCCACTGAACAGACTGCCCCATAGTCGGGGATGCCAGGGCTTCCGAAGTCCATGGCTCTAGTGCCCTCCTGCCATGTCGACTGATTCACAGATTTACATTCACAGAGTTGGGTGATTGGGAACCTTACCTGGGGGATCTCAGGGTTTCCAGGCTCACTGCCACACAGCCAAGAGCCTGGTAACCATGTCTAGGAGTTAGATTTCAAGGGTTTCTACTGTAGAGTTTGGAGTCTGAAAGCACTAGCTGAGCCTGGGAGTTTGAGTTCAACTTAGTTCTGATATTTTCAGAATGGAACATTTTGATTATTTAAAAAACCAAACTTATTTGTATTTTCCATTCCAAGTGAAATTTGAACATTCTAAAAGAATGTTTTTTCTTCAAAATTCTGGAATTTTTAGTGGAAAGGAAATTCTGACTTCTTCTGACCATCTCTAGTTACAATACAGTATGATGCCTTGTTTGGTCTCAGTTATTCATAGCAAGATATGGTATTCGTGAGTCATGTGGAAAAGATCATTCAGCTATGTTTCCAGCAGACCTGCATACAAAAGTCTGGAGTTGAAGTATGCTATAAACAGCTAATAAAAGAGACAGCGTGTGGCAGCGTATGCATACACCTTCCCAGGGGTAAGGATACTCAAGGGTGTGGATGCCACCTAGTCAGCTGCAGGGTCATCAGCAGTCTCTATAGACCGTAAATATCCATCTGAGATATAAGATAGTTGAGCTTAGTGACTCAGGTCAGTAATAATGTACCTTCTCTCAGGGCAGTATAGAGAGTCAGTAAGCAGCCCTTACTACAGGACAGTATGGCCTAATGGCCAGAGTCAGTACATAGCTCTTGTCTCAGGGTAATCCAGAGAGTCAGTAAGTAGTCCTTACTCCACGGCAGTATGTCCTAATGGCATAAGTCAGTGGGGCTAGGGACAAGTACCCGGGCCCACCCTGCTCCACCAGGTCCCAACCCAGAGCCCTGCGAGTGGCAGATTGGTCTACCACTTCCTCAGTGGGGGATCCAGCTGAAATATTCAGAGTGAACCTGGGTGGGAGAGGCCGCTCCTGCACCTTCCCTGGGGCACTTCCTGCTGGGGCTGGTGAGGCAGTGTCCCACGTAGCAGTCCCCTGGCAGCAACTTCTCCCTGGGGCTCTGCTGGGGCTGTGTTGCGGCAGTCTCCTGGGACTCTGGTTCTTGATGTCAGGGTTGCTGATTGCTGCAGCTTGGGAGCTCTGGCTGGAGGGCCTTTTCCTTCTCTGGACAGCCCCGACTGAGCTGTTCTTTTGCCTTTTATGCTGCCCCTGCACTTGACACATGCCCAGTCTGGTTGAAGCGGTGGAACTTCTTCCACCCATAGGGTTTTTACTCCTCCTGCTTCAGTGCGGGGTACACACACTCCCTCACACAGCTCCTATCTTGAATTTATTTGGCATAGTTAGGCCTTACCAAATTCACAGTCCATTTTACTCAATTTCACAGTTGCAGGGTTTAACAAAGCCATAAATGTCATTATTTCATCTGTTTAAATCTGAAATTGCACAATGTTCTACTTGTAGGAGTCCTGACCCAAAAAGTAGATGGGGGAGGGAAGAGGTTGTAAGGTTATTGTGGGAGGGCTGTAGAACTGCTACCCTTACTTCTGCAGTGCACTGGCTACTGGCAGTAAGGATGGCATGCTACAGTATTGACACCATTATTTCTGTGCTGCTGCCTGCAGAGTTGGGCCTTTAGTCAGCAGCTGCCATTTTACAGGCACCCAGCTCCAAAGGCAGCAGTGCAAAAGTAAGGAGAGTATGGCATGGTTTTGCCACCTTTACTTCTGTACTACAGCTGGTGGAGTGCTGTCTTCAGAGCTAGGCAGCTAGGGTGTGTCTAGACGACAGGGTTTTTTGAAAAAAAGTGGCCTTTTTTCGAAAAAACTTCCCCTGCATCTAGACTGCCACCACGTTCTTTCAAAATTAAATCGAAAGAACGTGGCAGTTTTTTCGACCGTGGTAAATCTCATTTTACGAGGAATAACGCCTTTTTTTGAAAGTGCTTTTTCGAAAAAAGGCTTTATTGAATGCAAACTGTGTAAATGAACACAAGAAACCAAATTTCAGGGTGGGAGACTAGATTTCATCATCTGTAGTGCATTTTTCATGGCCATGAGTTTGGTAGGGCCCTTGCCCTAATATTCATTGGTACTAAGGTAATGTGTGTCGTCTTAGCATTTTTGCATGCAGGCTTTTAAAGGATTTCAGGTTGGTTTCTGGGAAGCATGTACATTTTTAAGCAATATGTGCTATAAATTTCCTTTAGTTGGGGAATGATAAAATTTAAATGCAGAGCCCTTCCGAAAGAACCAAAAATAGCAGAAAACTGCTGCATTGTTATATTCACCAGTGTCAAGTTACCTTTTTCAAAGCCAACAGCTGGCTTGGCATCTTGCTCAAATCCTAGGTACAAAATACAAAACATTGTTTTTCTGTGGATGGAATTCTACACAGCTGGCTCCAGATAGATGAAGGGGCAAAGAGGTACAGAGCCCATCTAAAGAAAAGGAGCTTTTTTGGCTGTGATATATAATTTCAAGTGTGCTGGAAATAACTTGTTAATCAGACTCATTTCTTGTACAAAGATGATGACGCCATGAATAAACCATCACAAATGCTGGAAATTTTTCTGGCAGCTCAGAAGTCTAAAGTTTATCATCCTTGATACCATTTGGCAATTAGAGCCACAGATAGAAGGCAAATGGATCAGAGTCAAAGGGGATGCAACTATTGTCCAGATTGAAAGAAAGAAGTGTTATGATGGCACTCCTCTGTCTCCATTGCTAAATTATATATACAGATACACACTTCATTCCAGTTCTGCCAGAACTTCATTAGAATTATTGGCCATTTTTTGCTTCCAGTTGGCCTTCAATGCTTAAGAGTAAGGAATTTGGGAAAACGGAATATGTTAAATGTGAGCTTATTCCACTAATAGCCTTGCAACCCTTGTCATCGGTTATGATCCTGCTGCAAGTTGTCTTGCTACAAACACATTGCATCTTCACGCTAATGATGATCAGTGTTTTCTCAAAATAATTTGCAGGACAGTTCAGTGATATGGGAGTAGGACCTCCTCCACTGAAAGCAGAATGAGTCTGCAAAGTTCTGGGTGAGTGACTTGGCACATTTACCATGGGATCTGACTTCTCATAAGCAAAGTTAAAAACATAAAAAACCCAAAATTCTAGAAAATAATGTGGATCATGCTGGCTGAGTACTAGCACTACATGCTGTTGGCTGTGTTATAGGCTACATGACATATGCTAATTGCTGGCAAAAGTTCAGTGAGGGTTTTGCTACTTCATATTAACTACTCATTAAAAGCTATTGCTGATCAAATTGTCAGCAGGAGGAAATTATTTTTGTCTGTATCCGGAGATCAAATGATTACAGATGGAAAGTATTATAACCTTGAAGATAAAGAAAGAAATTGTCACTGTATTCAGAAATGTATCATGACAACGTTGGTTTTAGAAAGCATTTTTGACAGAGTACCATATGAAAGTTAATGACAATGTCTATGCTGGTGTCAGAGTCATGGCATAAGTAAAAAATTGTCTCTGATCACTAAAGATGTGAAGAAGAGAAAGAGTAGTGCTAGTCACAAATAGACTGTACTATGTGAGAAGGGCTGTAAATAATGAATAATGTAATGCTCTACACTCAGATTTCAGTCACTTAGGGTACACCTACACAGCAACATTATTTTGGAATAATGTCAGTTAAGGGCTCTGTATTTAATAACTGATGTTATTCCAAAATAACAACATAGGGGCCTCTGGCTTGCTCCAATATCCATTTCCCACCACAACCCCACCTTTCGCCCCTTCCCTGACCTCAGAATAAAGACACCTGTTTGGATTTGAACAGAACAAATTTTGTATTAATCTTTCATTAAAAAAAGCTGGAGATGGGGAGGGAGCTAAACACCTGGAGGGAGGTTCATAACCTGGAGTGGAGCTCAGGGCTGGGAGTGGTGTGGGGGGTGGCTGGAAGTTCCACTTTTGTTGTGGGGACCTTGGCAATCTTGGGGTTGGGTGGGTCCTGGGATCACAGGGGCATGGGCAGAAAGGGGGGCTGGAGCAAGATCAGGGATGGCAGGGGGCAGGGGCATGGGCATCACTTGGAGAGGGAGCAGAGGCATCACTTGGGGGGCCGGGGGAAGGAGAATGGAGGGTATAGCAGGGGGGTAGGAGAGTGGTAGGCAGGAGCAGTGACAGCAACTGGGTGTGCCATCATTTCCCGCATGATGGCGCACATGTTATTGCCCTGCCACACGAGCTGGTCTCATATGTGGGTCTCACTCTGTGTGTTCCTGGACCTGCTGCATGTTGTGCAGGACGCCCACATGCTGCCTTATAAGTTCTTCCTGGACCCTTGAGCACTTTCAGGTCCCCTGGGGCCAGGTGGCTGGCTCAGGTGGTGTGTCTCGCCCTCAGTCATGGCTGGTCCAGCTGTGGAGAATAAAAAGAGGGAGAGGTGGTCAGTCATCCATGTAGATAGTGTCTCTGAGGCCGTGTCCTCCTCTGTGAGCAGCGACCAACAGTCGTTGGGACAGAGGAGGGGTATGTTCCAGGAGCAAGGCCACGTGTGGCCTGCACAGCAGGCCCTGCCTCACAGGAGCCCAAAGGAGCCCAGAGAACCATGCTGCCTGCTTCCCCTCCTCCCCACCCATGGACAAGCAGGTAGGGGAAGTGTCCGGCCACAGTGGGATCCCATGAGGGGCAGAGGAGCCTGGAGCAGTCTGGCCCTTCCTGGGGCCTGCACACATACTTGCACCTCACAGCACTGTCCACTGGAGCAGGTGGTGCCTTGCACATGCAGGCATTCCCGTGTGCTGTGTGAGGCACTCGTTGGTGTGTATGGGGTCTTGCCTGCACCCTTGTGGCTAGCCTGCTTCCAGCCATGATAGGTGGTGGAAGGGCATCCCCGCCCCGGGCCCGACATGTGTGTGGCCTCCCCTGAGCCTGTGAGCAGGAGCCTGGGGGTGCTCCGGGGCTGCCTGCTGAGTCCGTGTGGCACACAATAACACTGCATGTGGTTCCAGATGCGCGGACTGCAGAACGATGTCCAGCCCGAGCAGGCCAAACGACGCTTGCACTCCATCCCCTCTGCACCCGCCTCCCCTGCCTTGTGTGCATGGAAAACTGAGAGCACTCTCCTGAAGTTCCCTCCCCAGCATCAGATGATGCCTGTGAGACATCCAGGCTCATGGGTACTGGCTCCAGGGACAGTGTGACTGTGGTCGTCATGTTGTCCTCCTCCTCTTGTCCCTGCTCTTCCTCTTCTTTGACCTCTGGCCGGGCAACAATGGACATCTTGACGTTGGTGTCAATGAACACAGATGGGGAAAGAGCTTCCTCAACCTTCAGGATCTGGTGCAGTTCGTTGAAATAGAGGCAGGTGTGGTATCCAGCCCCAGAGTGAGGGCTGCGCTCTCTGGCCCTCGCATAGCCCTGGCAGAGCTCCTTCACCTTACTCTGGACCTGTTCTAAAGTCCAGGGTGGGTATCCCCACTCTGCAAGGGCCTCGGCCATCTGGCCATAAATGTCCATGTTTCAGTGCTTAGAGCAGAGATCCTGTAGGGTCTCCTCCTCCCTTCATAGCTTAAACAGGGACAGGATCTCCACTCCAGACCAGGAGGGTGCCCGCAGCTTGGTACTCTTTGGTGGGTCCTAGGAACCCTGGTCATGCTCCCTGTGAAGGCCAGGGCAGTGTTGGGGAGCTTGTGGCTGTGCCATGGGTCAGAAGGCCTGTGGTAGGGAGAGCAATGCAGTCAGGGTGCTGCTCCAGTGCCGGCTTCTTGCCACAAGACTTGTCCAGAGTGCCTGTAGCTTTAAGAGGGACCAGGAGACAGGAACTATAGAGTTGTGATTACTTTGGATGGAGTGTCCACTAGGGCACCTGTTGTTATTTCCTGGAGGCCTCTTCTTTCGAAAGAAAACCCTCCTCCTTATCCACACATGCCGTTTTCTGAAAGAGCTCTTTTGGAAAAGGCTTCTTCCTCATAGAAAGAGGTTTACTGCTGTCAGAAAAACCCCTCTGCTCTTTCGACTTTTTGTTGAAAGAACACCATTGCAGTGTGAATGTAAGTGAAGCTTTTTCAGAAAAACAGCCATTTTCCCGACAAAACTCTGTAGTGTAGACATATCCTGGATAATATAGCATTGTAGCCAAAGTTTCCCATCACCTTCCATTAACTTCAAAGGAAGCCACACTCTTGCATCTGAGACTATAATATTGCCCAAATTAAAGTTCAATTTTTTGTATATTATCATCAAACTGTAATTGACCAACCAAATATATCATATACCAGGTGCTTTCAGAAACTAGACTTTTACTTTATTTTTTGTAAAATATACTTATAACCCTCAATTAAGATATTTGCTAGATGACAACTACAGTCCAGTGTAAAAATACTAGCATGCAATTGTAATTTAACAAGTTGGGTCTATGTATTACTTAAATGCATAATCCTAGCAACAATATAGTCTATATTTACTGTAAAAGGTGAAATTACATTTCTACATACTGCTACAGTATTGCTGGGTCATAAACACTTCTTAGATCAGCTCCTCTCCAAAAAAAATCCACACACAACAACTGTTCTCCAGATATGAATCTCTAATGTTCCATTAATGTTAATGAGAACTGCATATGTTTGTGTCCAGAAGAGAACATACATTCTCTGCCCTAGCTGTGTAATCTTGCCATTGTTAGTATAAGACCTATCTCCTCGGTAGTTCTTGTCATGTGGAGCAAGCGTTACGTATTTCTCTGCTTCGTTTCAGCTTTCAGCTAAATTTCAGCTTTAATATCCTTTGCTTGTAGCTTTTAATTTCTCTCTCTATTGTTTTTATTTTAAAGTTTGGATCTATCCTTCTCCATTTATCTTCAGTGAGACAATCTGCCCAAATAAAAATGTTGAGAAAATCAGGTCCAAGAATAGTAAAGGTTACCTGATGTCAATGAGATTGCTCTTTTGAATAAGGATTTATAGGATCAGGATCCAATTCTCAAGGGGTTGAGTACCAGTGTTTATGACAAATGCTATAGTAAATAATAATGTTAATGAGAACTGCATATGTTTGTGTCCAGAAGAGAACATACATTCTCTGCCCTAGCTGTGTAATCTTGCCATTGTTAGTATAAGACCTATCTCCTCGGTAGTTCTTGTCATGTGGAGCAAGCGTTACGTATTTCTCTGCTTCGTTTCAGCTTTCAGCTAAATTTCAGCTTTAATATCCTTTGCTTGTAGCTTTTAATTTCTCTCTCTATTGTTTTTATTTTAAAGTTTGGATCTATCCTTCTCCATTTATCTTCAGTGAGACAATCTGCCCAAATAAAAATGTTGAGAAAATCAGGTCCAAGAATAGTAAAGGTTACCTGATGTCAATGAGATTGCTCTTTTGAATAAGGATTTATAGGATCAGGATCCAATTCTCAAGGGGTTGAGTACCAGTGTTTATGACAAATGCTATAGTAAATAAAGTAACATTGTATAATAACTTACTTAGCTCTTGCACTGTGGTTCAGATGGAATGTCCACAATACTCAGTCCATTATTTCAAAATAAAGGGCTGGTTATTTCAAAATAACTCCTGCTTTCCACAAGGAATAACACTTATTTCAAAATAGTTATTTTGAAATAGCAGTAGTGTGGATGCTCCATTGCTGCTATTTCAACAGAATTACTCCTCAGAGTCATTCAAAGTAATTACAGGCAGTCCCCGAGTTACGAACGGGGCTTTTCTCGCCCCGGAGGATGGGAGCGGCAGGACGCCCAGATGCGCCGCGGTCCCGCCGCCGGCGTTCTCCGGGGTGAGAAAAGCTGCTCTGCGTCTCCCTGGTCTGCTGGGGGGGGGGGGAACTCCCCCCAGCAGACCAGGAAGACTGGGAGCAAAGCCTCGGAGGACGCCAGCCGCGGGACAGCCGCGGCTTTGCTCCGCATCTCCCTGGTCTGCTGGGGGGGGGGGGAACTCCCCCCAGCAGACCAGGCTTTTCTCGCCGACGATGCCTGGAGTAGAGCAGCTGGGGCGCTGCCGGGTAGGGCCCCGCCGTGCCGCACCTCAGCGCTACGGGGACCAACCCAGCAGCACCCCAGCTGCTCTACCCCAGGTGTCCCCAAGTCAGCTGCTGCTGAAACTGATCAGCGGCTGATTCCAGGAAGCCCGGGGCAGAGCAACTCTGCCTCGGGCTTCCTGTAGTCAGTTGCTGGTCAGTTTCAGCAGCGGCTGAATCTGGACGCCAGGTCCGACTTACATACAAATTCAACTTAAGAACAAACCTACAGTCCCTATCTTGTACGTAACCCAGGAACTGCCTGTACTCCTCAGTGTTCCTGGGGCTCTAAGTCAAGGCAGTGTATCCACATTAAGGGAGCCTGCCCCAGAATAGTTTCGAGACTTCTCTGTAGTGTGGACATGCATTTTCAAAATAGTTATTTCGGGAGTTATAATTTCAAACTAAGTTATTTCAAAATAATTTCCTAGTGTAGACATACCCAGTTACCACAAAAGAATGGACAAAATATCGGTGTTACCCTTCAGCAGTTCTGAAAATGTTATATTATGAGAGATTATGAGACATAGCTCTGAACAAATTGGTGCAGTTATGTTACTTACATTTAGCATTAAAGATAGCACTGAGGGAGGGAAGTTTGGGTTTTGTTTTTTGTTTTTATTTTGTAATTTATTTTTTCTGAGATGTATGCATCTTTTTGGATTTGTGTGGCTTTTTAACAGTTGTAGGAATCTGAAAGAAATGGTAGGGTTTTTTTAACTTTAAAAATCCCATTAAACGTCATGTAGTCTTTGGTGTAAGATGTTGTAATTGCAAGCATGCAAACTCTACCTTACAGCTTGCAGCAATGAGAATCACAACTTTTATGTCATTCACTCTTAGTTCCATATTGCACAATTCTTTTTTTCTTTGCTCATTGAAGTCAATTTTATGATTCTCTAGAGGAGTTAGTCACATTTCTCAGTTAAATACTTTAAACACAATCATACTTCTAAAAATAACGTTCTGTAGAAATGTTCAGTGTTTCATAATGACCCAATTTTAGTTGCATTTCACAATGCCAATATAATAGGAACTGTTATCATAATGGGGTAACTGACACACTGATGTAGGACTGAGAAGAGAACATCCCTTCGTCCTAAATGACATTGGTCTGCACTCATCTAACCTCTCCTGAATAGGAAGGCTCTATAGCTCCTATTCATTTATGACCAATGAAATGGCTCATAGAGATTACTGTGGAATTTTGCTCCCACATCCTCCTTACGGGGAAAAAAAACCCATATGCCTTCTATTTACATATATGTATTTAAAAGCTGCAAAGAGCAAAAAGGTAACTGCACCATAAAAACTTCTATAATTTCATCTTGTTGTAATGCTGTATAAATCAAAATTTTTAATAATTGTTATTAAAATACTTAACAGGACTTAATCTTTTCTCTCTGCAGACAATAAACCTTGTGCTACTCTGAATTGTGTCACATTCTGAAATCTCTGAGGGCTGGTCTGTTTTACAAAATCATTCCATGATCAAATAGAATTAAAAAGAATCATGTTTCCATGATTTGCGATCATTATATTGACCATAGCTGCTGTCAGTGTAGGCCAGGGCAAATCTTGTCAAACATGATTACAATTATGATTAATCTAATTATGATCTAATCATTATTGAACCCTTTTTTTCTGACACAAGGTTGACCAATTAGGGCGTAGATCAAGCTGATTGACCTTAGTCTTCATTGTCAGTCTGTTGTGGTCAGAATCACATTAGCTACTGAGATTCTTCAAGATTATGTTCCAAGATAAAATTCTCTCATTTTATCAGAGTGATAAAGAGCTCTGAGGCACTAAATATTTGATAAAACTATTGTTTATTGTCATTTAATTGAATGAAAAATGACTCATAGCTGTTTTAAAGGGGGTTCATTATTTATTAAATTTATCTGAGAATGTAATTACTTTAAATAGTTGTATATTTAACCATATATAATATGAAAGCCCTTCTTGTGAAAAACAAGGTATCTACTTCTTTTATTTAAAGATCAACAAAATGTATTGGCCTCTATGTAAATATTGACCAAAGCAAACTTGAGGTCAATATTTACCTTGAAGAACAATAAATCTCTACGTTCATTGAAACATAGTCAATTAAATGCAAAAACCTTCATTAATGTAATATGAACATTGCCAATATAAACAGCCAAAAGCTAAGCTATTTTCAAACTTTTTGTATTTACATGTTCTTGTTTTGCTTTTTTAAAAGGCAGAGAAGAAAACACAGGGGAAGATGAAAATGCCTTCACTGCCATTAATGGGTTTGTATAATTGTCTTGTATAGCATTGTACAGTTGTTTTTAAACTGATATTCTCAGTAGAGGGTAAAATATCTAGCTGCAGTTCTGCACTGTTTTGCACTTTGATTGCTGACAAAGGCCTGGCTGTGTAGGGCTAAGCAAGACAAGGTTAAGCAAGATGGATCTTTCTTAGTTCATCTTTCACTAGGCAGATACACTGTGCATTATATTCAACAAGTGCCAACAGAACATTGAGGATCAGCTGTATTGGTGTTATTTTCATAGCTGTATGTTGTGACACTGTATAATTGAAATATGACTATTTATATCATTAATATTGCCTCTTTTAGACACTTGCAACAAATCTTATCCAAAGTAGGTCATGTATTTATCATGTATTTGTTACATTCTACCAAATATGATTATTCTATCTATATACATATATCCTCTTTGTATCTAAAGTTATGAATATTGACAATGTACTAGTGGTAGTCCTTTCTTTGGCTGTGAATTACCTTGTGATTGTTACCACACATCTGGCTAGCATATTGTGAATGAACTATTTGAGTTGATGGCCTTTTAGGGAACACTTAACTCTTACAAAGAATCACAGAAGAAGCTCTTTTCTGCCAAATGAGCCTTCTTCAGGATGCTTTAGCCAGAAGATGGGTAACAGCTGCTCCCATGAGTCATTTAAGTATGCAAAGGCATGCGACTAGCTCATGAGATCCTGGATTCCATCTTGTGCCAGTAATTTTCCACAAACTAAGACATGGTTTTAAATTAAGTCCATACTCCAAAGATCAGAGAAGGCAAGAGGTAAAATGGATATGCTTCTAGGGATTTTATGTCTTCGCAAAAGGACATAACAGTACAGAATTGTAGCTAGATAGGAGCATTCCAACCAATGGATCAAGCACCTTCCAATTTTTTAGAAGTTACCATCACTGTTATAGACTTGATCCAAACACTTTGTAATGATGATCCTTTTTCATTATTTTAACTCTCTCTCTCTTATTTTCCCTATAAATAAAGCTTTAGATATTAGATACTAAAGGATTGGGAGCAGCATGATTATTGGATAAGATCTGAGTTAAATACTGACCTGGCTGTGTATCTGATCTTTTGGGATTAACAGAACCATTGTTCGATTAAATTGATTTTAAATAACCACTCATCTTAAAGTCTAGTTTCTGGATTGTGAAACAACCACTGGGACACCCAAGGAGATTGCATTTCTGACTTCTTGTCACCCAGGCTATGTCTACACTACAATAATCTATTGGAAAAAGGTATGCAAATTGCACTCCACAATTTGTGTACCTTTTTCCAATAATTTTTTGGAAGAGGCTTTTCTGATATTTGGCCCATTTACATTGGGCCAAATTTCAGAAAAGCCTCTTCTTTCGGAAGAGGGCGTAGTATAGACATAGCCCAAGAGGAACATGGCTTCTGAAAGAATGTGTCTGCCCTTCTGCAAAAAAAAAAAAAAAGCAGAAGAGCAGACGTGTACCCTAGATGCAGCAGATACCCTAGACCTCTGGTATCCCATAAAAATCCTGTACTGTAGACACAGCCCCAGCATAGTAAGACAGAGGTTTAATTTTGTTACAGGCTTGCTATGTCTCTGGAAGAATAACCACCAGTTTGGGATGGATCTGTCCCATTTTTAGGCATCTTGTCCTGAATGTGGTATTCTCAGCTGTGGCCCATAGGGCATGATGACATATGTATATCTTGATTCAGTTCAATGTGTTTGCCTCATATGTGTGTCCTGAGGTGGGGTAATGCTAGCAGTATAGTGTGCAGATTACCCTTTTACACTTCAAAACTCCAACTTGAGCCAATGGCTGTTGTCTGACTGCCTACTGGAGTCATCCAGGCTTATTGTAATGCATTTTCATGGGGACAGTAATGGTTTTCGTGACTATCATGTGCCCATTACACGTGGTTAAATGGTTTTAGCTCTACATCGACAGAGGCACTCTGGATCTTGAGAGCCTGGTGACTGAAGGGATAAAACTGACATCTTTGTAATGGTCAGACCGTTACTTCCAGTAATTTGCAGCCAAAACACCTATGAGTCTGTCAGGTTAGAAACTGGTCTGCCTGCTGAGCCTAATGGAGAGCATTTTTATGTTTCTTTTAAGTGAATACTGTCCTGCAGCCTGCCAGTGGCCTGCCAGCCAGGACAGTATAATCTTTTGTCCTTGGCTCTTTAGTGTTCTCATCATAGTGTCCTCCTTGCCAGTCACACTAGTAGAAGAAAGTTCAGGGAAAGATAAACTACATGAGAAAGAGGACAGAGCACAATTAGTGTAAGTCAAGCTGAACTGAATCAGTTGCCATAGAGAAGACCAGAATGATTGTGACTTCAAGAAAGCCATAGGATCTGTACAGCAGCAAAGTCCCAGACCCACAAATTCTAGCTGACCTGAGTTTCTCCTGGGGAATCTAGGGAAATTATCTGCTGGGACAGCAGCTCCACAATCTTTGAAATGTTCATCCTGTGTTCTTTCTTGCTGCAGGTCTCTGTGTATGGAGCAGAAAAAAGGTGACTTTGGAGATTAGCACCACCAGCATTGCTTTAGTGTCTCTGCAGTCAGGTTGAGAATCATACTACTGGGTCTCTCAAAGGATCTAGATTCCTCTTGCAGTTCCCTTCCCCTTTGTAAATCCATCTAAAGCCAGACAAAAGTCTAGCCTGGCTTTAGTATAGTGAAGAAAGTTTTTTTTTCTCCTCTACTATACAAACTGAGAAAAATCCCATTAAAGTCCTGACCCTCTGCAGCTCTAAGTGTCTTATCTCCCATTGAGGCGGGAGTCCCTCTATTTTAGTGGCAATTAAAATTAACCAATGCTGTTTTTCTTCACTTCATGTCAGATTTTATTTCTAAAACCAGCTTTTGAGGTGTTTGATATCAAATAAAGTAAGCTATGTGATAAGAAAACTTTAATTATCCAAATTATCTGAAAGAAATATGTGACAGGCACAAGACATCTGTTGACTGTCAAAGACTTGCTTGATTAGCATTCATGAAGCAACAAGGAATTTTACAGTGAAGCAAAAGCATCACCTTAGGGGGGTGTTAAAGTGCACTGCAAAAAAATACTGACATCCCTGTTAGATTTTTGTAGTGATCAATTAACAGGCTGAAGATAGCAACTGTACTCCAAAGAACTTAACAGTAACATTACTTTGAAAATGCAGCTTTCCAAAAGCATTCAGCTACCAAGAAAGCCTAAAACTTGTATATATAGCAATTGTAATAGCTGCAGGCAATATATGCTTAGAACACATAAATCTCTATATATTGTGGGCCACCTTTTCAAACAGATGAACATATAATGTGTTTGTACACTTTGGCATATGTTCATTTAACATGGTGGTGGGCAATCTGCAGTCTGCATCCTTCAGGTTAGTCTGATTTTGGGCCGTAAGACATTTTGCTGACATTGGCCAACTCCAGGCACGGCCTCCCACAGTTCTCAGTGGCTGTGGTTCACTGTTGCCAGTGGCCACCATGTCCCTGCAGTCCCCACAGCTCCCATTGTCCAGGAACAGCGAACCATGGCCATTGGCAGCTGTGTGTGGGGAGGGCAGGACTGCCTGAAGATGGTCAATGTTAGCAAAATGTCTCATGGCCTTCAAGCATATTACACTGATGGGCAGGGTACAGATTGCCCTCCACTGATCTAAGGTATTTAAATCTAGGGAAAGTGCACATGCAACATAGGATTGTGAGTACACGCACAACCACAAGTTGTGTATACTTTTTGTGGGATCTCTGCAATTAGGGGTATGCACATAAATACAAACCCATTCAAAAATGAGGGTCCACTTACATTTTATATTGACAGAAGGTTGTAATTTTCCTCAAATAGAAAGTTGTAATTTTCAACAATAAAACTTGAACAATTGTGAACATAAATACTTAAATATTAATCTCTCTAGTTATTTTGCTCTCATTTGTACTAATGCAAAAGCACACAGTTCTTCTGTATAAGTTAAGAAGAGAGTAGCCTTATTTCTGCTGGGACTTGATTTCACTTACACTTTTTTGGGGAATAGTCAGGCCCAGTAGATCAAATGCTTCTATCCTGTGACTTATGTTATGGTTGTCAGATTCTGTTTCCTAACACTAGGGGCATCTCGGACAAACAGTCTGCACACCTGATATTTTACATTTCTATTAGTTTGTGTATGTTTATTTTTCTATACATTGCTGAAATCTTATGTTTTTCTTTTTAATCAAATGCTGCTGCTTTTGATTTTGGAACAAGTTGAGAGAAGTGGTTTTAATGAGCAGGGCTGGGACATGAATTTTAGTGCATTTAAGGAAAATATGAGTAAGAAAGGATTTTCAGATCAACATGTTTCACAAAGGTTCCAACCAACATATGTCTGTCTATACTTGCAGATTTTCTAGCATAGTCTAGTTTTAGCTTCTTCTCATTATTATTTTTATGCAGCCCCAAAGTGTACTAGATACTTTACAGAACCAAACCAAAAACAAAGAAACATTGTCTGAGCTCCAAGAAATGTTCATTAGGTATTAGGCAGATAAAAACTACAATTGTAGCAAGCAATAAGAAGAGAGAACAGGGAAAACAAATAAGATTGTGAGCTTACTCAAAAAATCAGGCTAGAAATCCTTTAAGGAATCTATATGCTTTAACATATTTTAATTCATTTGACAGAAAGGCAACCAGCACATCTGTACTAACACTCTGATCGCTAGATCACCCATTAAATTGTCCTGGAGTAAACCTGAGGGGAAAAGTTGTGCCTAATTGATAGATGAGGGATGGATGGGAGAGAGCTAAAAGCCTAATTAACCTATTAGCCCAGAAGTAGAAAAGGCTACAAGGAAGGAAATGTTCAGAGGGGGAGAAGAGAGACTCACAGACTTTTCAGAGCTGGAATTAAGTGAACAGGCACCTCTGTTTGCTCCGTCCTTGGCTGAGTGAGCTAGGGAGTGAATGTGATTGTAAATACAATACACAAGTTTGTAAGGGTTGTGGGGAGAACACTGTTAAAAAGTTACAGTTTGATCACAATAAGTTCTCTGAGTGATTTGTGGCTATAAGAGAGTTAGGAGTAGGATGATGCCATATTACAACCTACTATTTTCACAAAGGGAGCAACGCTGAAGTTTCTCATTCAAAATTCCACAGGGAGAAAAGAAGGAATTATCCTTCTGACGTAGGCCCATGTTTCTATGTGACCATGCAGGCAGGCTATAGAGTCCCACATGGTGACTGTCGATTGCAGTGATTAATTAGAATTAATTTCTTAATTTCCCTAAAATCATTGGAGATAACTAAGATACCAAGTAGAGATTGAGTTTCCTATAGCATGGAAAAATGACAGTCTGACTTCAGTCACTCCTCCTATTAGTACTCTGTATTGATAGATGAAAATCACTTTTATATAGTTTAGCAGGTATACTAGGAGTCACCTTCATCCTTGTGGAACTCCCAATATTTGTGAGTGCTATTCTCCATTCTGGCACTCCAAGCATAGAAGGTCTGGTCCCACAAGAGAGGTTAAAATATCTCCCCTCGAAAGGCTTGTGTTAAAACTCCCCAAAGCCACAGATTCCCTGCCCTTTGTTTGGTATCACTTCCACCACTCAAATGCAAAAACCCTCTCTAAAAACTCAGAAAGGCACATTGGGAATTCCTTCCTGTGAGGTACTCTCAAGCTCTTTTCACCCTCCTCTGGAGAGAGCTTGAAAACTTAAATTTATCTTAGTAGCTTGACTGTGCAGCCTTAGACACATGCACACAGAACCTCCCATCTTCTAGGATACAGGAATCAAATCATGGTCTTAAAAGGGTGATTTTTATTAACAACTCCCTTTCCCCCCCCCCCCCCCCCCCCCCACCACACACCAACACAAACACTTAACTAAACATTACTAGGTGTTTCAGAGCAACTGAAAAAAGCATGAAAACAGAAAATTGCTTCCCTAGGATTCAGTTTGGAAAATAACAGTATAAGGAGGTAGTTACACGTGCTTGGTATAAAAATCCAACAAACCTGAAAATAACCTGATTGTGTCTGACTAAACATTCCTTGTCCTACTCACATCTCTAGTTTCAAGACTCAGTCTTTCCTTAGGCATGGATGTCACTGGATTCTCCATGCATGGTTCCTCACCAGTCCTTCCAGGAGGCTCTGCTCTAGCCAAACAGGAACAGGAAGGGACACTGCTTCTAATTAAAATGTTCACACTCTGTTTCCATTGGCTCTTCTGGCCTCCTGCCAAATCACTTCCTGCTTCCCTAGCATTTTTGGCGATTCTCTAGGACCCACTATTAATAGTTTTAACCCTTACAGGCAAGACGATTAAGGTTAGGTCTCAAGAATTAACTACTGAGAAAATACTTTAGTTAACTGAATGGCTTGAATGTCCAGAAAAGTTTATTCACCACCTCCATTAATCACAACATTCCATTAACAACAAGACGCATTACATGTTCGGTAGCCAGCCTGAAATAAAACAAATAATCCCATAACACTTTAGATGCACTTATAAACACTTTGGTGAAAGTGCGGGGGACAAAATAGGCATGTATTTTTTTTGTTTAGACTTTCGAAGGGGAGGAGCATATGTTCTGGACACTTAGTGACACTTATCATTTTAAAAATACAATGACTCCGGAAGAAGGAATATTTATTATTGAAATGCTATTGGAAATTTAAAAAACAACATTACTGGGGTCAATAACCCAAACAAGAGTTCCCCACTGGTTTCTGTAGCCAGTGTCTTGTAAAATATCACCTACCCCACAAAAGAATTTATTGGAAGAAACTGAGGCCAGATCTACACTAGACCTAGAAGTTTGGCTTAAGGTACGCAACTCCATCTATGTAGAATACACAACAAGTGGTTGAGGAGAGAACATGTTCTCATTGGCTTCTCTTACTCCTAGCAACTGAAAGTAGTACAGATGCTGGCTGGCGCTGCCGTCAGCATTTGATTTATAGGTCTGTACTAGACCCACTAAATCAAATGACAGTATGTCAATCTCTGGTGTGGTGAGTGAAGATGTGCCCTGATAGGCAAACTTCCATGAAGCCTAAGTTAACTTCAGTGCTGCATAATGTATGCAAAACACAAATTTCATAGTATACTTATAGCAAGAAGGAATGTATAATGACTTTCATTAAATAAAGACATCTCTATTCTTTTGCAAACAGAACCAGATCTTTCTAAGACATTCCTGCCTTGCATATGGGAGCAACAGACTAACTTTCAGGCTTGCTATAGAACTGGGGAGTGGGCGTGCTTTGAATTGTTCCTGGCTTTTTTTTAAAAGTGTTTCATAAAAGTAAAGAATGGATCAGCAATGGAAATGAACCTATTTTTCCTTTACTGAACAAATAACTGGATAAAAAGCTAAAGCTACATAAACATAACTATTTTAGCACCCACATTTCACTAAAACAAACTCTGTGAGGCCTATTTTTATTGCTCAGTCTTGCAATGGTCACTGAAAGAAAAATCATGTATCCAAACAAGCTCTTCTGTTTATTACGGAAATTTAATCTAAACTTCAGCTTGAGGATCCATTACCTGTGAATGTTTGTTACAACATGATATTAACTATAATCCCTGTACTCAAAATGGGAAATACTTCAATACTACAGTCAATTTTCTGGTAGATGGTAAAAAACCAGATTTTAATGGCCCCCGTTGCAGCCAGACCTTGACCCATTTGACTTTACAGACTCCTAATATCCCATAGAAAAGAATTATAATGGCTGCTATGGCAGTACAAGCTATTCTTAGCTAGTCAGCACTATCTGCAGAAACAAACTGATTCACTTTGATTGCCACTCAGCAGGACTGAAGGTGGAAGTCATATGTAAATAGATGGGCTGGAAATGGATGCCTGTATTCATTAATCTTTCATTAGACTCAATCTCAAAATTACCCAAAGGTTTTACAAGGACTTTTCAAACTCTAATTTGGCCCCTGGCCTTTAAACAAAATGAAAGCTATTGATTGATGTTCTGGCCAGGATGCAAATAAGCCCATAAGCTCTTGAATCAGGTTTTATTGGTTTAGATGCACTTTCCTAGGTCTGCTCAAGAGACCTACTAAAAAATGAAAGTTACTATAAAATTTCATTGTAAGGTTAATTCTCTGTTAAGCTTAACTAACAATGAAAGAATATTAAAACTGGACCTTTTTATTAATTTACAGAAACTTCCAGAATATTTGTCTCAGAATGCTTCAAAACTGAAAAACAAAGTAGATTATACTAAACAAGTTTTCAAAGAACTAAGAGAGATACATATTTAAATCCCTATTTAATAAAAAAAATACTAAAAGATGTAGACACCTGGTCCCAGCATTTTGCTTGGTGACAAGTTAATTGCTTAAAAATAACATTAATACTATGCACTGTAGTATCACTATTTAAGAAGCAAAAATAGGGACTTAGTTTTGATCTTATTTATTCTGCCTAAACCCAGAATAATACCATTGAACAGAGTGACTACTTCTAGTATTATTTCTGTGAATTCACACCATAGTAACTGAGATCAGATGCTGTCAATAACTTTTTGAAGCACTCAGCAGATGGCTTTTAGAAGGAATTTATTTTTTGTGCAAGGGTTGTTGGAGAAAGGTTGATGTACATGGTTCATTAACCAAAAGGTTTGAAATGTGTCTCTACTTTGAAAACTGTTTCAAAAATACTGCATCATGGGTTTACACACTCTATTGTTTCGCTGATTTCATGTCATATGTCCACAGATGAAAAATAAAAATGTTTGTTTTGCGAACATTGGAATCTAAAGGTATTTGTTTTTGGCACCTGTAACTTCACTAGTGTCACGAGAATCACAGGTCCGATGATGCATACCCAAGAGGGAAGGACAGAACCAGGTGGACAGTTTTAGCAAATAAAGGATATTTATTTATGACAGTGATGAATTTATAGTATTTATTCTAAGATTTTTAATAGACCGTGTTAATAATGAATTCACAGTATTTGTTATATTTATTCTATGATTTCTAGTTAAATGTGTCAGAGATATAAGGATGGGAATGGCAAGGGGAATAGTCTCTAGTCTAAAAATATCCAGCTACACTAATTAAATAACAGTGATAACTACAAACTCTATGTACTACCCAAAACAACTACAACACTAAGCTTATACAACAAGAAAAAATCAAATCATACATACCAACTTACACAGCACATGGAACATTTCACAGATATCGGTTCGGTTGCGAAGGCCTTGGTTACGCCTGAGAGTCGGGGGAGGTGGCTAGTCGGTTGATCAGGCTGGCAGCGCTTTGAAGTATACGGGAAGGCACACGCACGGTGGTACGTGTGTTGCGAAGACCTCCTAGAGCGAACTGTGCGATGGGTATTTATCCCCAAATCTGCACATCACTTTCCTGTGCTTGCATATTACCATATATGGCCCATGGTCACCACGTGGGGGGTCTGCGTCCCAGGGGTTGGGCCGAAACTGTGCAGGTTTCATGCGACCAGGTAAGCCCGCAGTTCTCACGCCAAGGTGATGGGTGGGAGAGTTTGAGGCTATTTTCCCCTTTATACACCTTCCCTTTTTCTAAAGGCAATAGTATGCAGGAAGGGTGCAGACGGTTTCTCCCAAGAAGTACTGCAACCCACTATAGCAAGAGCGGCCTGGCCAAACTTTTTTACTGGGGAGGGCAGTTTCTTTTCTCTTACAACTAGTAATAAAGAAGTTGAGATACTCAGTTACACCTGTGCAACCCTACAGTCCTCTTCAGATTATGCCCTCTGCTACACCTGTACCAATTTACTAAAAGTGGTATAATGGCAAAAGCATAGGCTTGTGGCTGAGTGCATAATCTGAAGATAGTAGGCTTTCCCAGGGGCCTGCAATTGGAACTATGTAAATAATTTGTAATGGTGTGTGAGCTGGAACAGAATTTAATTCATCTGAGGTGGCTTGGATATAGCAACAGAGGTAAAAAGCAGCAGAGTCTTACTTCTGTCACTGAAGTACACCATTCTGGCTCCAAATCCAAGGGAAGGGGGAGAGATCTGCTAAGTGTTACACCTTGGTTCGGTGATGTGATGGGAGCCTCAAGGGTTAAAGCCGACTACCCAGTGAAAACTACTGGATGATGGTGAAACAAATGATATTTATTAAGTGGTCAAAACCAGCAATTAACAAGTAGGTGTTTAAACTAGCAATTGCTTAGTACTTTTACAGCGTAGAAAAGCTTGGGCACAATTATACCCAACTCATTACAATTCTTTGATTACAATTCACTTATATCAAATCACTATCCCTAATTCGCCTAAGACAACGCAGCATACAAATAAAAAATACAAAAAAACAAAGCCAAAGTAATGATAATAAAAGAACCGTCCAAAGCCAGCCCCTCTATGGTTATTTTAGGACAGCTGGTGGAGTTAGTTATAAATCTACTTTTACAACTTAACAACTCCGGGGCTTCTATTTCTAACACTTATACTTAACCTAAATACAACACTACTATACAACACAAAATTTTACAATTTACACAGCGTGGTTAACAGAACTTAGATACACTTTACAGAATTACACAGTGAAATTAACACAATTTGACTATTAATTAAACCAATAACTAATACATTTAAACAATACTTACAAATCCAGAAACGATAACGACACAAAGACACACTAGAACTCGGAGCATGCTCAGGACTCGTGCACCCCTATATTTGATTCGAAGGGTGGGGAGGCAGCCTCAGGGTGATCAATCCTTTAGCCAGGCAAAAAAAAGACACGTGCCCTCAATACACGGAACCTCCGTCGAACAAAGGGGTTGAGGGTCTTTTATACAAAACTTCGGTGTCTGTGCCATGCTAGGGTCTGCATTTGGCAGGGTCTGATAGGCTAGTGATGAGGTAGTATGACAATACTGCCCTATAGAAATTTTCGTGATGTATGCGTGATCCCCTCGTGGACAGGACCAGATGGGGCATAGTTAGTGTTAGACAATTATGTTTTATTACCCTATGTTTACTTTTTCCCTTGCCCCTAAGACTGGTCAAGCTACGGTCAAATGAGGCTTATCTGTAAGCACTATCTAGTCATGCTCACCTCCCTATTTTTTGGCGCCTGTGAGTCCCAGAATGCCTATAAGATCAAATTCCATTCACAAAACTGCATTGTGCTACCCATGCTCCTCTGAGTATCTGGGTTTTGTGTGAGGGGCCTTGTGTGGCAGGATGGGCTATACGCGAAGGCTATGGACAGAAAAAGCCTGCTTTACAACACTAAGTAAGAAAATCCTATTTATGCAAAGTCATCTTTTCAGAGTAGAACCACACTTTAATGCAGGCTGGTTGTCACGAGATCACAGATCTGGTTTAAAAAATAGAGAGACCACAAAACTGTACGTGAAATGGATGAGTAGCTTGCAAGAAGCATTATAGATGTACAAAAATAAGCTATCAGCATTTAACGTCTTGTGATGAACAAATGAATTTCCCTCATTGGGCAATGACATGCCTGGCATTAGCACCACTATAAGTTCTGACCAACTCTGTGCCATTATAATACTTAGCTATCTCAAAGGAGTGCCATGAAGACTAAATAGCTAGAGTCTGTTAACAACAGGAGACCTGGCAGGAACTGGCTCCCGACATCTGTCAAAAATGGGCGTGAATAAAAGCTAACAGCAAGGAGGAGGAAACACTCCATTTGTACTGCAAATGGTTGATCTGTTCTTGTAATTGGAATTTGTTGGGTCTAATTTAACAAAGAAGCAGCCATCACCAGACTATGGTAATAGAGGCAAATCAGGATTTAGAAGATCCAAAATGGACTTTCACTTCTTACTGGGCCAATGCTAAGCACTTAACTTTTGTAGAAGAGTTGCAAACAGGGGCAAGTGTTCAGCACTAGGGAATAAAAGAGGATGAAATCAAGGGATGGGAGAAGAATGGAAAACAATGTGCAAGCCATTGATTCTCTGCTTTGAACAATGAATAGAAAGTGTGGAATGTGCTCTTGAATAATTATAGCACAGCTTGGTGTATTGACTGCCTCAAGGCCACAGATGGTAGCATCTGTCTCCCAAGGGTATCGTTGATATGCAATAACATGTAACTTGGAGTGTCTAATTGGGGGAGAGGGAGAAAGGAAGGATTAATTACACTTTTGAAAGTGGTGAACTTAAATAAAACAAACTAAAATAAACTCTTTTATTACAGATTTTTTGCCATGAAAAACATTATTCACAAATGGCTATGCTGATCTAGTAGCAGGATTTAATTTCCACTTTTTAAAAATGACCATCCTGAAAATTCACAGTTGTTGTTGTTGTTTTTTTTTTTAAAAAAAGGATAGCCTCCTTGTCCCTGGGGTAATGGGATAGTGCAGACCTGTAGATTAGCAGCAATCAGAAGATGGGGTAGATGATTGTAACAGTAGCCACTTCAGTCAAATGATTTTGTCCAAAGCCATGTGACTGAATTTTGTAATCCAGCTCCTTTTCATAGTACTCAGTCAGGGAAATAAAGAATAATCTTTATTTATTCTACTGTGATGATATTTCTAAATTTGTTTCTCTCAGTTTGGGGCTTAATTTTTTTTTGTCTTTGGATGTTCATATTTTCTGCTGAATATTTGAATTCATTGAAAGCAGGAACTTTTCATGACAAAATGTGTTTATTTAAATCTCTTTTTTTTTTGGCTGAAAAATGGTTTTGATGGAAATTTTTTCAACCCATCCTAAAAGACACCTATATTCACTTCCCACTGCCCATTTCAGGTCCTGTAGCCTACAGACCACGCTCCTATTTAACATTTTCTTTAATTATATTAAAAATTGCATACATTGCTATTGTATGTATTACCTTCTCCTGCTATTGGTAACTGAATAACAAGGTGTTTTTTAATCAAACTACATTTTGTTAAAAGCAAATCCAAACTTTAATTCCTTCAAAAAAATCAAGAAAAAAATGGTTTTGTTTAAAATTCTGCTTTTCTGGCAAGAAGTGATGGCAGTACTGGAATTATTTGAACTATGCTGACTGGAGGTTATTGGACTTCTATATAATCAAATTATTTTATAATTGAATAAAATTTATGAAAAAGAGAATTCTCACTGAGCTCCAGTCAGTCATTGTTATTGTCTTCTGAAAGCCAAAGTCAAACACATGCTATGACAATTTATGGGCCTCAAAACACTGGATACAATAAAGGCTAGTAATATGTACTGGTCAACTGTAAGGTCCTTCTAGATTGCATTTTCAGTGTTTTCCTATCTAC